GAGTTCAAATTTACATCAAGCGGATTTGAAAACAACAAAGAATTTAACTTGGCCTTCAGGTCGACCCAGCCTAGTATGGATTAGAAATGTTGTGGGAAGCAAAGATGGCCAGTGCAACATTGATGAAATCACCCATCAAATGCTGGTTTGTCTGTAAAAATATAAGTCTAGTATCATATGCCAGATGCGCTAGTTGCATAAAACAAATGGTTCTTGTCATTTACTTTGTTTTAAAAATAGTCATACACGTAACACCAATTTGGGATGCTCTTACATAATAACACAAAAAAGACCAGTTTTGTTAATCTGTTTATTACCAGAATATAATTAGAAAGTCTAAAATGATGCATATAATATAAAAAATTTTAAAAACACCAACATGCACGCACGCACGCGCACACACACACACATATACATCGTTCTCAAACTATTCTGCAGTGAACATACAGGAATTAGCAGATCAGTAAAACAGTTCTGATTTTCTATTGTCTCTTCAATTTTAAGGTGATCAACTAACTGACTCAGAAAGCATGCTGAGGAAGATCAAAACAGATATGCTTCGTGCAGAGTGGCATGCTTCGCTGCGGAGGACATGCGTTAGGTGTATTGTCTGGATTTTTTCACCGGGGACGCCGGTGTGTTGGGAAATGAACAGGAATTAGCAGATCAGTAAAACAGTTCTGATTTTCGATTGTCTCTTTAATTTCAAGGTGATAGACAAACTGACTCAGGAAGCATGCTGAGGAAGATCAAAACAGGTATGTTTCGTGCAGAGTGGCATGCTTCGCTGCAGAGGACACGGGTAAGGAGTATTGTCCTTATTTTTTCACCAGGGACGCCGGTGTGTTGGGAAATGAACAGGCGGACAGACTGGCGGGCTCTGAACAACTTGGTGGAATACTGATACATGATAAGGCAGACGTGGTTAGTGCCTTGTGGGAGAGCATGTATAGTTAAAAGGAGCAAAAATTATCACCACAATTTGGTGAGACTGATGCAGGGGGGAGTGACGAGAGGTTCTGTCAGATGCTCGAGGCTCAGAGGAAAGGCAAGACGGACATTTAATCAGAATGCTACTGGCACCATTGGTATCTGAACTCTTCGCTGGCTGCTGAAGATGGGAACGAAGCGCTTATGGGAATGCCCTGAGTGCTGTGATGTCAGTTCTTGAATCAAATCAAATCAAATCAAAGTGATCGACTTTAAAAATAATTACTCTTGGGACTTTGGTAGCCCCGCAGATGCATTCCTTGCCTGTTGTTCCTGTTATCACATGCTAAAAACCCCACTGAGGTACAAATATGTTTTTTTAATTGGACCTGTGTTAACCCACCCTAAACATTTTCTTCTTCTTCTTTGCATTGTTTCATATGCTCAGGTTAGGTCATTAGGTGTGCTGCCTCTATGAATTTGCACATTAGTTGCAGGTCCTTCATGGTTCCTATTCGCTTGCTCTGCACTTTGTTCTTGAGGCTAGGTTTCTCTTTGTAACTGTAAGTATAGTGGGCAGGCCTGCAGAATGTTCTCAACCCTGAATATGGATACCAGGAACTGTTTTTGGAAATAGAGGCACAAAGCATTATAATGACCATATTCCCCATTGTATGCCAAAGGGTCTATACAAATATGGAATTAGCAATACATACCAAAAATACTTCAAGGCAATTATCTCCAAGCAATCATGACTGATGACTGAGGTCATAAGAGAAGAAGCTGGCACAGAACCAATTCTAAATTACACACAAAGACAGCAAGTCAAATGGTTTACCACTTACAGAGAATGCATTGTGACACAGTACCATACAAAGCATACATCAAAAAAGAGAAGGGGATGCAGCACAGACAGTCCAACAGCACAATTGAAAAATAACATCAGAGAAACTCTACAACAGCACAATGTGTCTATGGTCCAAGCAGCCAGAAGAGAAATAAGCAGAACCTTATATCTGCCTCAACTCCCAAAGTGTTGAAAGAGGAAGTGAAGAAGAAAATGAAAAACAATTTTTTTCTATCTGATCTGATTATACCAGTAAATGTAATTGTTATCAAGGAATACCTGGTTTGAGGTTTGAGGTTTTGAACAACGGATCAACATCAATCTACACAGGTAGTAACCCATAAGTGCTCCGTTCTTTTTCTAACTCAAGTCTGAGTCTAAAGAATCTCAGCACAGTTCACAGGCTCTGTAGCACCCGCGAGGATGCTGAAATACTTTGGGTAGATTTTTAACTCTAAATTTTGCCCGGGAAGCGTCGTTAGGCTACTCATTTTGATTTCCAACTGCCAAGGGATTTTTTTACATGCTCAACAAAGCACACAATCTCACTACCCAGAGACCAGAGGGAATTACAAGAAGTCCAACAAGTACACGTGAAAAATTTCCAGCCCTTACTGGGGATTGAACCCAGAATCTCTAGCACTCGAGGCGGACACCATGCCTCGAGACCACGCAGCCCCCTGGAGTACTTGGAAATGGTTATACAAGCAATTCCCAGCCTATTTTTCATGGTTGAGTGTAACTGTCAATACAGGTATATTACAATCTTTCTTCTTCTGGCTTTGTTCTTCCAGTGCAGTTGAGTTGAGAATAATCAAGAACCAATATCACAGCACTCAGGACAATGCCGTACATGCTCTGTCCTCACTGCAGCAGTCAAAGAGTTCCAATTCCAATAGTACCAGTAGTAATATGATTGAATGTCCCTCTTGCCTTTTCTCTGCTATTAATCTCCCAGTAAAGCATAGGCCCAAATCAACTCATAGCAAATCCTTTATAGACTTGTCCATGATTAACTGAATCAATCAGCAAATTTAGCCTATAGCAAATGTTTGATAGACTTGTCTGTGATTAATTGAATCAATCAGCAAACCCTTTAAAGACTTGTCCGTGACTGACTGAATCAATCAGCTATTCATCCATGGATGAGTTAGCCAGTTTCCCACTGAGTCTCCTTAGTCAACTCTTCCTATGACCAAATGGCAAGCAATGCACCAACACATGTGAGAAGAAGCATGGACAAGGCAGATATCGCCAATGCTTCACAGACTGGACTAGTGGATAATGATGAATCTCTGACACTAATATGACTGCGAGACCTGGCAGTAAGACATGGTCAAGCACGCCTATGCCGCCTTTGAGGCCGAGATAGGAGACATTATAACCAGCTTTTTTTTGGGAACAATCAGTATACTGGAGTGGCTGCTACACTGGAGGACTCAGCATCGGAATACCCAATAATGTGTAGTGACATCAAATTTGATAACATTCATAACTTTTACTATGACAAGCATAATGACTACAAATTGTTTCTTTTAAAGGCTCTGATAAAACAGGGGTGTTTCACTCTTAACATGTGCATATAATTTTACTACTGTGCATAAGCATGAATTTATTTACTGAATTTACATTTTCGCATTTGATTTAATCTTTTTCTCTTATCCAGTTTTGGGGATTTAAAGTTTATTGCACATCCTTTACAGCAGGTGTGTCAAACATAGGGCCCTTTGCAAGGAATAACTATTATGAGTTCAGTTAGTTGTCGAGTTTGGCCCTCAAGACAATACAAATATGAACCAAGGGTGCCCCCTTGGTTGATCTTTAGTTTGACATGCCTGATTTACAAGAGGCAATCCCAGCATTTGCTGGCTGTTTGTGGTATTACCAGGAAAGTTTTTTTTATTTTTTCAGTACTTTGCCACTTCTTTCTAAATGGTCACATTTCCTCCCACTGTCAAAATCAATGCAAAGTGGTCTGCTACTAAATTTCCAGCAGCTGACTGGAACATAGGACACTGGGATTATAAAGCCTGTTCATAACAGCCAAACCACAGAGTTTAAGGAAATAAATGCATGAAAAAAAATGTCTAAAGGAAACAATCTTCGGCAAAGTACTGCTTATATATGACCTGCTTTATGTGATAATAGTGATTCTGATTAATATAATATTAATAAATCTGTTTTGAACATTCTGGAATTTGAGCAGCATTAAAATTCTTCTGTCTCACCGCTATTTCCTTTCAGTAAGGAACTGACATCACAGCATCTAGCGTGTTGTGGATCAATTCACCACCAAGTGGTGCAAAATCAGCCAAACTATTTGCCTATTTATTGCTTCGTTCCAACCTCCCATTGTCACAAAGTACTTCAGTATTCCTATTCAACAACAAGACATACAAATGTATATTGTCTTCTTCAGACGCGGGTAATCAATTCTCTTTTAAAGTTAACTTCTGTCAATATATCTTCACTACACTACTTATCTCTCTATCATTATCCTGGCATTATTCTAAAAAATGACATCTTTGCAGCTTTTTCATATCTTTTCATTAATTGACTGACTGTCCATGATTCACTTCTATATATCAGGAGTTTCTCTATATACCTCTTAAGAAACACTGTGTATCATTTAAACATGTTAATTTCAGCTTCAACAGATGCCAGATTAAGGCATCTTGTCCTTGACTCCCAGGAGGCTTAGGTCAGAAATTTAAGATTTTCTGCGGCAGCAACCCTCATAAAGACCACCCTACTGTTCAGGTTTTATTATTATTTTAGAAAAATAAATGTTACATCATTATTAAAATTAGAATATTTTATTATATATTATAATTTTCCCCAAACACTTGATTTTGTTTTCTTTGGTGTAACGATCAGATGCTCAACGGCTGATCCAGTCAAAACATAGATCAACATTTTAAAAAATTTGATTTTGGCTCCCATTGACCCAATACGCCTGAAGGTGTGGAAAAGGGTCCTTTACTTTTAATTCACTTGGGTTATCAATGGCCGTCTCCAGATCTTCATAGTTAGCAGTTTCAGCTCACGAAAAATGCTATTCTTTTACTAAATTAGTTATGCTGGAAAATCTTTGTCCTGCGTTGATATAAAGGATTTTCCAGTAGTTTGAGTTTCTCTTATTTATCGACAACTGTTTCAAGTTCTTGTTTTTTTCACAATTTCAGCTTTCTATTTTTAAAATAAATTACTTTTATTGGAAAACCTAGATCCTTATTAGATATAAATGCTTTTCCAGTAATTTGATCTTCTCTTCTTTATCCTCAGCTGCCTCCAGTTCCTGATATTTAGCAATTTCGGCATCACGTTTAATACTTACAAAAGCTTTTAGCAACAAAGGTGACAGAGCCTCTTCTAGAACTGGATCAGCTGTAAGAGCATCCAAAGCTAGCCCTAGAGACTGTGGTACCGCATCAGCCCCAGAATATGATTTTGCTGGACAAGTCAGCTTTTTAGCCACTCCGTCTAGTCCGGAAGCAAGCGTGGCCAAGAGTACAAAGTAAGGATTGCAGGCAGAGCTGGGCAATCTCGTCTCAATCCAGACTTGTTCTCGTGCTACATGAACACTTATAAAGGTGTTACAGCTGTCAATGTCCCAGTCCAAGTGCTTTGGAGAACTGTTGTCCAGTGTGAAACGCTGGTAGCAGTTGACTGTGGGACAATAGAGACCTGTGATGCCCTTGCCATGCTGAATCATTCCAGCTATCCAAGCATAAGCAAAGTCTAGTAATGGAGAAAGAAACAAATCAGAATAAATACAGTGAATACTTTCTGCATCAACACTCCTGAACTGTATACATTTTCCCTGAGTGAGTTCTGGGGCCCCATTGGGGCAACAGAGAAATAGACTCGCCGCCCTCTACCAAGCATGCAGTAAAAGGTGACTGGTTAGGAGTCAGGGTCTTCGTGATGAAGTGATCAAGCCATTTGCCTCCTGCTCTGAGGGTCATGGGTTCGTTTCACAGCTGTTTCATTTAGTTCACAAGTGCAGTGTTAATGGAGATCCCTGGGGATCATCCCTGGAGTCCATGCTCTGTGTGATGCTCTCGGCAGGTGGCCATCCACTCTGTGCTGAGTGACCGAGCCATGGGATAAAACCCGGTGCAATGAAGTTGATCCTCTCAACTTGACTTTTGGTTAAGAGTTTGCAGAGATCAGATATGTTGGGCTCTAGAGCTCTAGAGGATAGGGGAGGGTGAGGGGTCCTGTCCCCTAACAAGCATATTGTAAAAGGCTGCTAATTAAGGATTGGTGGAAGCTTTTGTGTTGGGACAAAAGTGCAGATATCACAGTCTAGCTGTGAACCACAAAACAACATACAAAGAAGGATGTGGTCGGTTGAAAGACATCACAGCCTAGATGTAAACCGTGATACAGAAAAAAGAAAAGTACACGTTTATATGACTATTCATTCTGGCCAAGAACAATAAATCACTGTTGTTTGGTTTAGCCTGCCTGCTGAGAGAGTGGCCTGGGTTCAACTCCAGTGTGAGGCAGGAATCCTTTCTCCTTTCAGTATAGCCATGGGGTAGCAGCTATAGGGTAGCAGCTATGGTGTGGGGTAGCAGCTATGGGGTGGCAGCTATGGGGTAGCAGCTATAGGGTAGCAGCTATAGGGTAGCAGTTATGGGGTAGCAGCTATGGGGTAGCAGCTATGGGGTAGCAGCTATAGGGTAGATGAAACCTCATAAAACTATAACAATTTCAGATGAGGAGCAAAGGAACTGGACTTCCAGTCTTCAATGGCGGTAGACAGTTGAAGGTATTTGTAACTGCTTCATTTTCACCTTGGGGGTTTGAGCATGGGATAGATGGCCTCATGTTTTTAATACTACTATATACGCCGGTCAGATTAAGCTTATCAGCTGGGGACAGCAATCCATGTAAGGAAACTTATCTTAACACAAAAGCATGCTTAAAGTGGAAGGTGCCAGGCTGAAAGGCATGGACAGACCAGAAAGGTGTCACAGCTGAAAATGAAAACTACGACACAACGCAGTTCATCTCTGTAATGCCAGTGTATGAAAATGGGAATGATGGCTGTGGTGTGCAGCTTGTTGAAGTGCAGTACTAAACCCTCCCCCTCGAAGGAGCTCAGACTAAGGTGTTTTTCCTTTGTCTCGACTTGTGACGCCAGGAGAAGAGTGCAGAGAGAAAACACAACTGGCCAAAACCAAGAAAACTTCACATGTTTCAGACATGCTCTCTACATGCAATAGAAAGATCCAAAGTTTGCCTGGTTGACATTCCAATGGACACCAAGCTGTAATCAGTGGTTGTACTACAGAGTTCACAGAGGTCTGTGGCCTTTTCATCTGTAAACCACTGGCAGAGAGAATAAAAGGAAAAAAAGGAAAGGAAATGACCTTCCCTGCCATGGCCTAGCACTTCACATCTTAATGTATCTTTTTCCTATCCCATTTTGACCTCTGTATATGAACTTAGGGGAATTGCTGTTGGCAATGACGGCTAGACGCGTGCCTGAAGATCAGAAGGTCATGGGTTTGCGTCCTGACGGAGCCTTTATTTTTTTTTTTTTTTTCAAAACTGTGTATTGACTCCCCTGTTGACCCAGCCTTGAGTGGGTGCCAAGTGCAGTCCTGGAAAGGCGGCGCCAGCGTGATGCTGACCACATCGCCCACTAAGTGCTGATTGGTCTATAAAAAAAAAAGGTCTAGCCCCATATTCCCAATATGCTTGAAGTCGTGGAAAAGGAACCTATACCTTTTTTTTTTAACTTCTTATATGAACCTAGATTCAAGATATGAAAACTGTGATGCACTGTGCAATAGCATATGTTTCTTGTTACTACATCACTTTTATCTGGAATACGACACAAAGAGTGGTGTGTGCAATGCATGCTGCACATAATGTTTGCTTTCTGTATGTATATTTTTCGGAATTTGTGTAGTCAAACAAAGTAGTTAGTTTATATACTTGCAGGGGTCATTACAGACACAAAATTCTAATTATTTTTATAAAAACATGGGACCAAAGAAATCTAAGAATGGTGAGAAGAAGAAAATCACAATAGAGAGTGAGAAAGACATTGTAGGGAAATATGAGAATGGAGTCAGGCAAACTAATCTTTGTAAGCAGTGTAGCTTGTCCAAGGCCATCGTAGCTACAATTCTCAAGAAAGCAGAATTGTATTAGGAACTGGATGTAGCCAAAAGAGTATCTCTCATGTCATATTGAAGCAATAAAGTTATTGAAGAAACAAACTGTTTACTACTTCAAAAAATAAATGACATGCAACTGAAAGCAGATAGTATATTTCAAAATATGAACTGTTTAAAAGCTACAGCTATTAGGACAGATGTATCACAGAACTAGCCATCCACTACCAGTATCGTACTAAATCTTTACGTCCTTTTAAGGACGTAATTTTTTGTTATTTGAAGCCCCACTCTGGCTTTTGCCAGGGGCCGCAATATAGGCAGGCCGTAAAAATGGCCAAATGTCTGAACGCGGTTTCTGGGACCTCTCCACGGTGATCCTCATCCACGTGGTGGCACTTTGTGTCATCGGGTGTTTATCGCTTGTGTGATGTCCTGGTGGGGTAGAAAGTCACTCACTCACTCATCCACTACCAGGAGCAAATAAATCAGTGAAGAGTTTAAAGCTGGGTGAAGGATGATATGACAAATTCAAGAACATAACGTATCCATCATGCTGTTAAACATGGAGAAAGTGCCAGTGCTGACAAATAATCAAGTGAAAAGTTCATGAAGAAATTTCAGAAAATGACTGGGTCAGAGAGTTACAGATCAAAAAAAATTTCAATCCACGTAAATGCGCTATACACAGTCTGCAACCAATATAACATGAAGATCAGCATCACCGAAACAGAAATTCTGAAAATAAGTAGAACACCTAATATACTAACTATTCAAGTTAACAACAAACAACTCAAACAAGTGCAGCAATTTAAATACTTGGGGAGCATCTTCACAGATGATGGAAGAATTGATAGGGAACTTGAGGCAAGATGTCAAAAGGCGAACGCAGTAACTTACCAACTCTCCCCACTGCTAAAACACCCAAGCATCACTATGGCACTAAAACGACAAATGATAAATTGCATGTTTATACCAACCCTCTGCTATCAATGCCAAACCTGGTCCCTAACAAGAGCACAGGAGAAAAAGATCACGAAGTGCGAAATGAGATGCTTACGTAAGGCTGCCAATGTCACAAGGAGAGACAGAGTTCGAAACGAGAACATTAGATCAATTGTAGGAACCACACCATGCCTGCAATACATAAAGAAGCAACAAATAGAGTGGTTTGGCCACTTGATGCGAATGCAAACCGACCAACTGCCTCTACGAGCATACAACGAACAGCACTACTGCCCTAGAGCAAGAGGCAGACCGAGAGTACGATGGATAGACAATATATCAGAGATCCTGAGGCAACACGGACTAACAACAACACGTGCAACACACCTGGCCCAGGATAGAAAACTGCGACTCCCCACTACGCTATAAGGCAATTGTGGATAAGACAAGACAAGACAAGACAATGAAACTGGGCTTTTCTGGAATAAAATGGCTAATAGAAAATTGATAACAAAGGAGGAAAATAGCTTTGACAGAACACATGCTGATGAGAGACAGATTAATTTTGCTCTTTTGTGCCAATGATATTTGTGATCTGAAGCTGATACCTCTGTTGGTTTATCACTCTGAAGATTCTAGAACCTTTGAGCAAAAGAAAGTTAACAGACACAATCCCAACTTTATGTGGACAAGTAACAACAGAGCTTGGGTAACCAGGAAATTCTTCCGAGAGCGGATTATAACTGATTTTCTGTAAGATGGAAGGGAAACTGGGTTTTGAGATGCAAACTTTTTGAGATACGAGCCACAGTCAGGAACACATACAGTTTTTTAGTCAAGATACCACTGGGTGTGTAAATATGTATATATATATATATGTGTGCGTGCACCCATGCACGCATGCAAGCACACACACACACAGATATATATATATACATACACACACACACACACACACACACACACACATATATATATATATATATATATATATATGTGTGTGTGTGTGTGTGTGTATATATATATATATAGTGTTATGATGCCAACGGCTATATTTACAAAGCCAAAAATGGAGATAAGCGTACTAGATATTTTGTCCTTTGAGGAATCATCATAGAAGGCATTGCGGCTATTATCTGAATTAACTGTAAAGCGAAAGATGAAAGCTGACGATGCATCTGCCTCATGGGGTTTAGTTGTGAAGGTTGCATGGTATCCTCTGGATGCCAACATGCTCTTGACTCCATGTTTCACCCGGCAAGCCATGTCTGCAATCTTGACACCTTCAGTGGGCGCAATAGACAATTCAAAAGCTCCTGTAAAAAGACAAGATAAAATTATGTGGTTCAAAGAAATTAGCATTTACAAGGTAAGATGCAAATATTTAAATCATCATCATGAAGCAGGTCCTTTGCAGAATGTCACTTTCATCACAGTCTGCCTGAAAGAAACTAAGTCTCTCGCCAGTTCTCCCGCCTCATGCACTTTCACACTCAAGGAGTCACTTATATCCTGTGCCCATCTTCGTGTTGGTCGGCTCCTGCCCCTCCTTCCTGGTACATAAATATTTAAATACAATGCAAAAATCTAATGAGAAAGCTGCAAAAGCTCAGTGATTTGTTTATATGCCTGTCAGCCCACTGATAATATGTTTAAATC